AGATAGATAGATAGATAGATAGATAGATAGATAGATAGATAGATAGATAGATAGATAGATAGATAGATAGAAATAGATGTATACTAAAAAGGTAAAGGTTCCCTTCACACATACGTGCTAGTCGTTCCTGACTCTAGGGGGCAGTGCTCATCTCCGTTTCAAAGCCAAAGAGTCATCGCTGTCCAAAGACCTCTTCATGGTCCTGTGGATGGCATGACTAAATGCTGAAGGCGCATGGAACGCTGTTACCTTCCCACCAAAGATGGTTCCGATCTTTCTACTTGCATTTTTACATGCTCTCGAACTGCTAGGTTGGCAGAAGCTGGGACAAATAATGGGAGCTCACTCCATTAGGCGGTACTAGGGATTCGAACCGCTGAACTGCCGACCTTTCTGATTGACAAGCTCAGCGTCTTAGCCACTGAGCCATTGCCTCCCTTAGATCTATACTAGTCTCCCTTTATTTCTTTGTTGGTAAATATCAATTTAACACACACAAAAATAGTTTGTTGCGAAAGCAACTGCCTGCGAAGGTTCCTGGATTGAGGCTGAAAGGCAAAACTGTCTGTCTGGTTTGGGTAGACCAGGTTGAAACATCTTTTCATCCATCCAGATAATTTAATTGCCAACTTTGCTGTTTTGCCGCTTTAGTGTAACAGTGACAGGTAATTTGGATGGCTGTGACGAGAGAATGGTGAGGTTCAGAGAGGGCCAATCTACCAAAGGTTACGAATACAAGTGTTTGCCACTACTTGAATCAGAGTTCTCAACAGCAGTTCATTTAGTGATCGTTCATAGTTGCAACAGCATGGAAGAAAGTGACTTAAGGCTATTTTTACAAACATTGCTGCATCTCCAAGGTCGTGTGATCAAAATTCAGACGCTTGGCAACCGAACTCATATTTATGACCGTCGCAATGTCCTAAGGTCACGTGATCACCTTTTGACAAGTAAAATCAAGCGTGAAGCCAGTTCCACTTAACTATGTTACTAACTTAACAACTGCAATGATTCACTTAAGAACTGTGACGAGAAAGGGCGTAGAAATGGAGCAAAACTCACTTAATACATGTCTCAGCCACATAAATTCTGGGCTTAATTGTGGCCGTAAGTCAAGGACTACCTGTGTACAGGTTCCTGAAGTGGGGTATTACTTTCCAATATAGGCTTGGGAGAGTCTCAAATGCTTCTGGATGACACAGTGGAAGGGCTTGTAACCTGATCCAGCAGAGCTATTCTTATACTCTTATACTTACATTTCACTCTTTTCGTTAAGACCAGTCACACCTGAAATCAGAAGTTTACATTTTTTACCTGGTCCGAAAAGTTCTGGCTCATTTCTTCTGAAATTTACCTGGAATTCGTGCGAATCCCAGTTTGCATTTCTACTTAGTAAAGGGTACAAAAAGTCAGATTATTGGTTATTGCTTTGACATTCCCACCATTGGATTCCCCCAAAATCCCTGGCCTGCAGCTCTCAATAACTTTGATTATTTGCCATGCTGGAGTAGATATTCAGATATCTTGTCCAGTATATATCTACGGGATGAGGATTTAGGAACGGCCAATAGTAACCTGAGCCTGCAGAAGGAGCCTAACGCTGCAAAATTAACTCATGTACAGAGTTTATAGTAAACCAGGATTCTTCAAAACCCCAATTGATGACTTATTTGCTACATTTACACCCCACAGCCCTGTTCAGAAAAAAAAAAAAAACATTGAAGTGGGCTTACTTTTTCAAATGTGCCCACTGAAGGAGCCCAGAGGTCAATCTATAAAACACAAAGAATGCAGTCTTTAAAAAAACGTTGCCTGTCCATGCAATTAGAGTGAAACATCTTGACATCACAAATGCCTGCTCTGATTTTCGTTATCATTTGAACAAACATTTCTAAACTGCGTCTTTATTTCTTCCATCCTGGTCTTCTAAAACACTTTTTTTTTTGGCTGTATTTGTAGTGTGGCCGCAGGAAGAATACATTGTGGAATATTCTTTTGAGTACGGATTCCTCCGATTATCCCAAAGCACCCGTCAACGTCTGAGCATTCCCGTCATGGTGGTGACTCTGGGTAAATTTCTATTTTATCATTCCATTCTTAACCATTGCTAAGCCTCCAGAAGTTGTAGGTGCTCTTAACACTGGAGGTTTTTAAGAAGAGATTGGACAACCATTTGTCTGAAAGGGTATAGGGCAGTGTTTCTCAACCATGGCAGCTTGAAGATGGGTGGACTTTTAACTCCCAGAATATATATTAATGTAAACATGTGTATTAACAGTAGTAGAACCACACGGATTGAGTGATTGAATAGATTAATTCTATATGTTTAAATGATTGTGATTGGTACTAGAACTGTACATTGAAACACTGAATAATAAAAGAATGAAGGATGAAACTTTAATATAAACAGATGTGAAGAGCTAAACAAGATAAATTTGAATAGCAAAGCACGTTAAAGATGGAAAATAGAAAATAAATGTCTTTGAATATTACAGCGATATAGGGAAAAAAGTTAAAATAGAGAATAGAAATAATAGGGGAATAATATATATATATATATATACACTCGCCATCTTCAGGCTGGGTTTGGGGCTTAAGATCCCTTTCAACTCTGTTATTCTGTTAAGCAACTTGTAAGCTTGTAAACCAAGATAGAAGAGTTATCAAGCTGCCACAGTATAATATTTTGGTTTGGGTTTTGTTTGGCTATTGCTGTAGATATTTATATGTGCTGCCAGCAAACATTCAGTGCAAGTGAAAATAAATGAAAGTGAAATGTCTCAGCAACAGGAAATTCGTGTTTTAAAACAGAAGGGATAGCGGGGGCTCTGCAGGAGTGACAGTAGAAGACATTGGTTCCCCTAGCCTTAAGAATTTCATCTGTATTTTAAAAATGAATGTTATTTTAGTTTAAATGTTTGGCTTACTTAATTTAGTTAATGCCCCTTGACTATCTGGGAGCACAGACAGCATTTGCAAGTAATTGTTCGTTGCATTTCATGGCTTGCAAACATATAAAGAAATTGTGAATTTCCACACAACTGTCTCTGTACAGGTAAAATAGCTCATGGATATTTGATCTCCTAAGAGGAAGCCCAAATTTAAAAATAGAAAATGGGAATCCTGATTCTGTGGCACATGAGGCCCACCAGGCTGCAGAATGGGGGAGGCTAGCATTTTCTCCTTTAGCCACGGGGTTCCCCAACATGATACCCAGGAATGCCCGCCCCACCAGTCTCCTTATCCTAGCCAATATTTTATCAAAATGTTCTTTTTTCTTAAAGAAACAGAAACCACATGCTACTAAACAGAGCACCAGCCTCCAGCATCATTTTTGGAATATCTCTAGGCCCCAAGCAATCCCATAAATGTCCTTAGCAAATAAGAAGTATGCTTTATTTTCTTTTGAAATGTGTCCCCAGTTATCCGGCTGGAATCCATAACTCTTAAAGTTCTCAGTGGGCCCACCAGTCAGAAAAACATTTGAGGCAAAGGTTAGATAGTTAGTTGATTAATCCTTGTGATTAAACGGCAAAGGCAGAGTTTGCTATAGGCTTTAAGTCATAGAGTTTTTGCAAGGAAAGAAGAGAAGATAAAATCATTTCCAGTTTGTACGGATATCAGTCTTTCTAGGACCCAGGGAAGAATCAGTCATCAGTGTTGATTTTATTTCGGATGTGCTCAGAGTCTTATCCAGTCCCTTTCAAAACTATTTTTCCTGATATTCAGTTTCCAATTTGGATAAGTCTGGTCATTGTTACCTTGTTCAGATTTACCGTATTTTTCGGCGTATAAGACGCACCAAGATTTTGAAGAGGCATATTAAAAAAAAGTTTTTGCACTCTGCAGACCTCCCAAAACGGATTGTTTTTTTGTCAAAAAAAAGGGCATGCATAGCCTTTAGGAGGCTTATAGAGTGCTCCTGGGGGCTGGGGAGGGCAAAATTGAGCAAAAAGCGCCCATTTTTTCCTCATTTCCGCCCTCCCCAGCCCCCAGAAGCTCTCTGAAAGCCTCCTACAAGCTACGCACGGCCATTTTGGTGAAGGGGGCGGGGTTTCAGGAGGCAAAAAATGCTGTATTCAGTGTATAAGATGCACCCAGATTTTCAGCCTCTTTTGAGGGAAAAAGGTGCCTGTTATACTCCAAAAATACGGTAACTCTCTCAATCCAAACCATTTTTTCTCCTGTTTTCCTTCACTATTACTTCTTCCTTCTAGCCTTGCCTTCCAATTTTGAGAATTGTAGTCTATACATTACAAAAAGTTGGCTATGGTTGAGAAACACTGAGTTAGACTTTTTGCATTTGGTGTGTGTGTGTGTGTGTGTGAGGGAGAGGGAGGGAGGGAGAGAGAGATTGAGATTCTGCCTGTGGGTCTTTTCTACTGTACTTTAACTTTGCTTGTCTTCACCCTTCTTACAGATCCCACCCGGGACCAATGCTTTGGAGACAGGTTCAGCCGTCTCTTATTGGATGAATTCCTAGGATACGATGACATTCTCATGTCCAGTGTGAAAGCTTTGGCTGAAAATGAAGAGAATAAAGGTTCGGAAAAAGGGCCCGTGGGTTGCAGCAATAGTACGGCATGCTATATTGTTCAGATTGTTGTGGTCTCTTGGCTGCTGCAGGTGTGGCCATGTTTTACATTGTATTTTGTATTGTTTTTCCCTGTTATAAGCCGCCTGGATCACTCAGTAGAGATGGGCAGGTCTAGAAGTTGAAGAAATAAGTTAACCCAGAAAACAGAAGCGGGCGAATGTTGACATTCGGCTGTTTGAAGTGAGAGATGGTCTTGATCCAGTTGCAGGTAGTCCTTGACTTACAACCGCTTGTTTAATGACAGCAGCACTGAAAAAAGTGGCTTACAATCGGTTCTTACACTTATGACCTGTTGTGGACCGCCAGCAGCCAGCAGAGCTGGCGGCAGATTCGGAGAGTGAGGAGATTGGGGAGGAACATGGGCCAGCCCTGGAGTCTGGGGAAGGCTCTGATGAGGGCTCTGTGTCGGAGGCAAGAGATGGGGCCAGGGCCATCCGACAGTTATCAGCTGCCTTTGGAGTCGGATATCAGTGGGGCAGAAGAACAGCTGGAGCCTGTTCCCGATGTGCGCATGCACAGAGCTGCCAGTAGAAGGGAACAGCTAAGGAACAAGGGCTGACGGGGGAGTAAAGGCACAGGTGGACGGTGAATGGCCCCTCCCATAGGGAATAAAAAGGAGCAAAAGGGGAGGGGAGTTTGAGGGAGACAATTAGTTCAATTCATTAGGGTGAAGATCTGTTCCTGACTTCTTGCCAAGCATTGTCTGCTACAGAATGACGTTTGGAAGATAGCCTGGCAGCTCCCCAAGCCTGATAAACATCTGTAGTTGTGGAATATCTTGAAAGACGGTTGGCCGGGACTTTGCTGGAGAAAAATTCATTTAAACTAAATGAAAGAGGTTTTATCAGGATGAGGAGTTGGCTTCATGATCTTGGGAAGCCTAGGTCAGGACATGATCATCGTAAGATCCCCATGACCACGTGATCAAAATCCGGGTGCTTGGCATGTATTTACGATGGATCATGAGATCATCATTTGCGATCTTCCCAGCCGACTTCCAGCAAGCAAACTCTATAAGGGAAACTGGATTCACTCAACAATCCTGTGATTCCCATAACAACCCTAGTGATTTGTTTAACAACCATGGCAAAAAAAAAAAAAAGATTGTCAAAAACCGGGTGCGACTCCCTTAACTTAATGTTGTCTTGCTTAGCCACGGAAATTCTTGTCACAATTGTGATCATAAGGACTCCTTGTTTATCCCTGGAATGGCTGTGTGTATTTGTGGAACAATTATCCCACTACTTTCATTTGCACAATTGTGGCTGAGCCAATCCCCCCCCCCCCCCTATGACAAAATGTCACAGAATTGGAATCAGTCCAACTCCCTGCTCCATACAGGAATCTAAATTAAAGCTGTGGTAATAGGTAGCAGGCCAGCACTTGCTTAAAAGTTATGAGTGTGGTTATCTTCTTCCTATTTATAATTTGCTCATTGTTTGCGGGCATGAAAGCCTTAGCTATGCTTTCTGGAATGCAGTTCTTCTGCTTGGGCCTTGGAGAGGGAGTTGTGCTTGTTAAATAATCTTAGTTAGATTACATTCTCTCGGAGAGCTGAGTGTTTTAAAGGCCCAGGCCCGTTTAGATAGAGGGGCAAGGTTTCAAATTGGTTGGAGACTGGCCCTTTGGAAAACGATACAGGTGCTGTGTTGTGTCAGCCTTGGTTTCTAGAGAAAAAAAAATGAAAACTTTAGATGCTTGTTTTAAAGTCTTGAAAGATTGCCTCTCTAATATTGCTCTTTGGTGATTTTTGGGGGGAGGACCTCCAGACATCCCCCTCTCCCCCAATGAAACAGAGGTTGTGGGGCTTCAGTAATAGAATAACATCTTTACACCCCATTTTTAAAATTCCTAATCACTAGGGCCGAAAAGAAAACGAAACATCTCAGGAGCCAAAATAGACACGCTTGAAAAATCTCATGGGTAGAACAAGCTTCATTGCTTCTCTTTGTGGACTGGTAAACCACATGTGGATGCAAATTTAGCAAAATTAGACCTGGGTTTATGGAACATGCCTGGAACTTTCTTTAGGCTGTCAAAAAGTGTTGAGTGTCCTTTTGGGAGAGTGATTGGTGGTTGAGTGACTTACTACCACAATTGAGAGCTGGGGTGGCGCAGTGGTTAGAGTGCAGTACTGCAGGCTACTTCAGTTCAGCAGTTCAAATCTCATCAGGCTCAAGGTTTGCTCAGCCTTCCATCCTTCCGAGGTCGGTAAAATGAGGACCCAGATTGTTGGGGGCAAGAGGCTGACTCTGTAAACCGCTTAGAGAGGGCTGTAAAGCAATTTGAAGCAGTATACAGGTGAAAGTCGAAAAAATTAGAATATCGCGAAAAAGTTCGTTTATTTCAGTAATGCAACTTAAAAGGTGAAACTAATATATGAGATAAGACTCATTACGTACAAAGCAAGATAGTTCAAGCCGTTATTTGTCATAATTGTGATGATTATGGCGTACAGCTCATGAAAAACCCCAAATCTACCATCTCAGAAAATTAGAATATTACATGCAATCAATAAAACAAGGATTGTACATAGAACAATATCGGACCTCTGAAAAGTATAAGAATACATATGTACTCAGTACTTGGTTTGGGCCCCTTTTGCAGCAATTACTGCCTCAATGCGCTGTGGCATGGAAGCTATCAGCCTGTGGCACTGCTGAGGTGTTATCGAAGACCAGGATGCTTCAATAGCGGCCTTTAGCTCTTCTGCATTGTTCGGTCTCATGTCTCTCATCTTTCTCTTGGCAATGCCCCATAGATTCTCTATGGGGTTCAGGTCAGGTGAGTTTGCTGGCCAATCAAGCACAGTAATCCCACAGTCATCGGACCAGGTTTTGGTGCTTTTGGCAGTGTGGGCAGCTGGAAAATGAAGTCAGCATCCCCATAAATCTCATCTGCAGAAGGAAGCAAAAGCCAAAAGCACCAAAAACTGGTTCAATGACCGTGGGATTACTGTGCTTGATTGGCCTCTCCATTCTTCCTCCATACTCTGGGTCCTTAGTTTCCAAATGAGATGCAAAAGTTGCTCTCCTCAGAAAAGAGGACTTTGGACCACTTTGTTAAGTGAATCTGGCTTTCCCCGTTGACATTGCTTGTCTGACGGTCGCAAAAGGGGATCACATGACCCCAGGACACTGCAACTGTCATAAAGATGAATCAGTTGTCAAAGCATTCAAATTTTGATCACGTGACCATAGAGATGTGCCTTGGTCGTAAGTCTGAAGAATGGTCATAGGTCACTTTTTTTCAAAGCCATTGTAACTTTGAACAGTCCCTAAATGAACCATTGTAAGTTGAGGACTGCCTGTGTTTTTTCCTCCTTTTGTTTGTCACGATGAAGAACAACTGCCTATTTTGAATGTCTGTGTGTCTTTAGTCAGACTTGATTCCTGGTGACTACAGAATGAAGCCATTGTGTTTTCTAGGAAGTGCCATATTTTTCAGAGTATAAGACGCACCTTTTCCTCCCCAAAAAGAGGGTGAAAATCTGGGTACATCGTATACACTGGATACAGCATTTTTGGCCTCCCGAAACCTCGCCCCCTTTGCAAAAATGGACAAGCAGAGGGTTTGGGAGGCCTGCAAAGTGCTCCTGGGGGCTTGGGAGGGCAAAATTGAGTGAAAAATGGATCATTTTTTGCTCGTTTTTGCTCCCCCACCCCCAGCAGCACTGTACAAGCCTCCAAAAGCCTATGCATGCCCTGTTTTTTCTTTGCAAAAAACGGGGTCATTTTTTGCTCGTTTTTGCCCCCCCCAGCCCCAAGCAGCACTCTACAAGCCTCCCAAACCCTATGCATGTCCTGTTTGTTTGTTTTTTGGTGAAAAATGGGCCGTTTTTTGCTTGTTTTTGCCCTTCCCCAGCTCCCCAGGAGCACTTTGCAGGCTTCTCAAATTCTCTGCATGCCCCATTCTTCACAAAAAACGAGTGCAGAGGTTTTGGGAGGCCTGCAGAGTGAAAAAACTATTTTTAAATTCAGCTCTTCAAAATCTTGGTGCGTCTTATACTCCGGCACGCCTTATAGTCCAAAAAATACGGTATTTTTCCCACTGTCTTCTAAGGCAGTGTTTTTCAACCACTGTGCCGCGGCACACTAGTGTGCCGTGACATAGTGTAAGGTGTGCCGTGGGAAAAACACCTTATATATAGTC